ATATGTGTGCTGGCCTGTCTAATGTGGCAGCTGTTTGTTCATCATCCGTCTTTAAAAGAGATTGGGGGGGGGGTGAAGGTGGCTCTAATCTCCCCTTCCAGAGCATCTTTCTTTTAACTGTGATCCCCAGCACACCCCGGGGAGGTGATGGGGTACGTGCCGACATATGTATTATTTTTGAACATCAGCATTCAGCTTTACCTTCAGCTTTTTGTTGCCTCTTGTCTGTTTTTGTGCCTGGGAGGGATCTGAAGCCGTCCGATAATTTTGATCTTCCCTGCCTCTGGATAAACAAATGGTTTGTCTCATAAATGCCTGGTTCCTCTTTAAAAGAGGGAAGAGATGCCTCTTTAAAAAAGAGGGAAAAGACTGTCTTGCGGGCAGCCCAGGCTGTGAACTTCATGAGAACGGAGCTCAATTCCCCACTGCACTGCAGCCCCTTGCCTGCACAAGCCTGGGCAAGCCACACCGTCCCTCGGTGCCTCAGTTTCCCCTCTGCGGCAGAGGGGTGCTCAGACTTCTGTCTTCACTCCCTTTGCCTGCCTTGGGGTTCGGGAGATGCTCGGGGCAAGCGGGTGGATTTTCCTTTTTCCCTTCACCTTTCCTGCTGCAGCTTCCCCAGCACACAGCCGCTGGGCAGGGGAAAGGGTTAAACGCTTCCCCTTCCCCTGCCAACCCAGAACGCTCCTAAAAGCAAGGGGAAACTTTAAACAGCAAATGTGGAGTCTGAACTAAGATCTGCTCCTTTCCCTGCCCTCCCCTTCCCTCCTCGCTTTCCTCCCCTTGAATCAGGACTTAAAAAAGGAGCTCTGGGATGAAGGAGAGGGCTGAGGGTGTTGCAGACTGTGAACGGCAGCCCAGGCTCCGTATCCAAACCAAGGCACCTGCCTGCTTTGAAACTGGAGCAGAAACTGGAGCCAAAACCTCTGGCTCGGCAGGTCCGAGGTTTGAAAGGATTGATATTGCAGAAAATCCAGCTTTCTGCTCAACCTTGGAGAGTCTCATCCCAGGTTAAATCTCCGTGAGGCGAAGCTAGGATGTTACAAACTCCTAGAAAAGCCTGCGGCCGCCCCGCAGATGCCTGCTCTCGCATCCCAACTGCTCCGGCGGCAGTGAGACCCGCTGGCTTGGCAGCAGAGCCGCCGCCTGCCGAACCGCTGCCCGGCAGGACCCCTCTCATCCCTGCCACACGTAAGCCCTGCGACTCCAAGAAGGGACCGAGCTGCTGCTGTTGTATCTCCTTGCACAGCTACAAAAGCAAATTAAAAATTGGCTTTGGGGGTTATACACTGAGGATGCCCTGAATCTGTTCCCCAAATTTCTCAAAGCACATGGATACGTTCTTCAGCCAATATATATTTTAATTTATATCTTGTATCAGAGTTTTTTCCACAGCTGAATTTCCAGGAGGGAGTTTCTTGTCTGGAGCAGGAGCGGGATCACACCACCGCTTGGCTCTTTTTATCACCGAGCACATGATGCCCCGGTCTAACAGCCTCTGGCGCTGCAGGTTCAAGGCCGATTTTCCCAGGTGTATAAACACAGCGCCGTGCAGTGCCTTTGAACAAGACTCGTGGTTTGAGCCCAGGAACCTGTTCGGCTTCCTGGACACAGTGTTTGCTTTGCTGACTGCAGCCAAAACGTGCCCTCCTTAGCAGGGAAGAGCCGGGCTGGTTTTTGGCACAAGGGCTCCCGGAGATCGCAGGTCCTCGGGCTTCACAGTTAGAATGCAACATTACTTTGGGGTTAGCACTGAAAGGATTAATATAAAATTTCAGCTTGACAGAAAGCTTGGAAGAAGATAAAAATAGGCTCTTGCCTCTGCTGAGTCATCTCCTGATTTAAAACACGGATGGGGTGTGTTTAAAGGCTCCTCTGAGATCTGCTGCCTTCCCCACAGCATCTAGTTCTGGCCAGGGGAAGAGAGCCAAGGCGGTGTCACCAAACCCTCTAAATGGACCGTGGCTGGCTTTTATTTACCGATGTCAATGCCCTTTGCTCACCAAGATACTGCAAGTCAGAAGGGCTGCGTTAAGGACCAACTCAGATGATGAATGTGAAATAACCTCAACGAAAATGAAACCGGCAGCCACCCGTGGTTGCAAGCAGCCTTGCATGAGTACACCGCAACCCCAACAGGCTCCAGCACAGCTCAGCAGCCTTAAGAAACCCTCGTAATAAAAACACTGAGTAAAACAAGCTCCACATCCTGTGTCTCTGAAGGCTGGCTGACTTCTTCCTGATTTCCAGGGAAATTTCTTGCATCCCAGCGGCCACAGGGTTAAGCTGATGACTGCACGCCACCGGTCTGACTCAGAGCTTGCCAGGGTAAAGGTGTAGACCCAAACAGTCCTTCCCTCTGTGCCTCTCAGGGAAACCAAACACATCTGAGAAACCTGGAAAGTCCAAGCACACATGTTGGAGGTGTTAATGGTTCTGTCTCCATCACGCAAGGGCTGATTAACCCCCGAGTGCGCCCATGAGCGACAGGGCACCCCAGCACCAAGGTCCTGGACACAGCTTGATTCCCCCCCTGCTCTGCAAGAAACAAGAAATATCACATATGGCGAATGCAGTGATACAGAAATACCCAGAACTTGGCAGCTCTGCTTAAGCGACAGAGTTTGCTTCCAGTTTTCTTAGTAGCGTTGAGTTTTGCTCTGAAAACATCAGACTTCGCATGAAGAAAGTCCTACTCCCCGCTCCTCTCCTGCAACCTGACATTCATGTGATGCAAGGCTGCCCTTGAGGAACCGGGGACAACAGCGATCGTGCTGCCACATGAAGGAAAAAAAAAAAAGAAAAGCGGCTGCCAAAGGACAGGAAAGCCAACATCGGCGGGTGTCAGCCGAGACTCCAGTCCCCGCGGAGCAGCGCGGGTCACCCCGGCC